CCATTACTCGAGCTGGATTGGAGATCTCAGTACGAGTAATAGGTCGAGTTATCGGAGCAAGCGTCAGTCTTGGCGATGGGGGAGGAGAGAACAACAAGTTGCTGGCATGCATCTGGATTCTCAAAGCGAAGGGCTTCAACACGGATCCTATCATTCAGCATCTGAAGGATGGCTTGGCAATGTCAGATGGGGTGCCACCCGGTCAGGTTGAAGAGTCTCAGAATGCCTTAGACATAGCGCTGTCGGCTCCCTCTCTTATCGACTGTTTTGCGATGTTCGAGGAGGCAGATCTTAGAAGAAAGTTTGCATATGCCACAGGTGTCTCTGGATGGGATAGGACCGTCCTCGCAGTGCTTCTCGAAGATCACACGGCGCCGGTGATATGCTTGGCGTGGACTCACCGATCCATCCCTCTTTCGACAACAAAGTGCTGGATTTTGGATGTCACCTCTGACCCTGTATCGGATGTCAAGCGCTGGGTTGTCGCAAACGGTTTCGGGCCAAAATTACGCAAGATCGGTACCGTCCGTAGCTATCCAGCTCTGGTCGAGGACAAGCCCACTCGTATTAGGGATGTCGTGTTTGTCTAACGTAGGTGGGTACATCAGTCCTATATGTGTACTTCTCATGTACTTGCACAGGTTTCGCAGCCCAGACTATTATAACAGCTTCCATGGACTGTACGTCAGTTACATTGAGCGCTCCAACCCCCACGTTCTTCCTCCTTGTACTTGCCTCTTGGGCTACCACACTCCGGTGTGGTCAGTCTGAGCATATTAGGATCTGTCGGCTTCGAATCGCGCGGTCCAAGTGATTAATACACTATTGTAACAACAATTACGGAAAGATGTTAATACGACGGTCTCAGCTGCTCACTTCTCATTACAATCGGAAGATGTTTCTCGTCAACATTTAGAGCACAAACAGGTAAGGGTTCGTCGTACATCTTGGATGGGAATGATTCCCTGCTGTGAGGGTGTGTGCCGCCAATGATCGGTTTAGAGCAGGAAGGGCACAATCGACGCCTTCTCGCCACATTTGAAGATCTTGACCTATTGCGAAATCATTTTCAAGCGCAGTTCGTTTTGGAGCCGGTGCGTCCTCTCAATCGAGTCTATCCTTATGTTGTCACATTTCATTAATTTAGACGGCGATGGAGTGCGAGATCACTCTACTGAAAGAACAGCCCGCTCCAGCTGAAGTTCGATTTCTATTCTATGTGTATGGTTTCTGACCTTGATTAGCTCTTTGAAAGCGGATTGCGTGCGAAACTTGTCAACGAGCAGATTGTGAACGAGAGCCTGAGGGTGCGTATCCGTATCGTGACGAGCCGAAGTGACAGACAAAGCCCATTACGATGAGCATATAGCCACATCAGTAAGTGGAATGTCACATGAGGGGTATATGCTCTGCGTTATATGTAAAGAGACGATGTCGATGAACTGTGAGTGGATAGGAAGCTGTCGCCGACTTCGAGTTGATAGAACAATTGTTACCTGAGGCTACCCTTACACTGGCAGGAGTCCAAGTCTCCTACTCTTGGAGCAAAAATCTCAGCACACAACTTGGAGTTGAGATTCAATGCATTCATAGGTCAAGCAGGTCGTCTATCGGATGTGTATGTCAGAGAGAATGAAGCAGAGCGACTATGACAGCTTGGACACGTTATACGTCAATGTCGAGCATGACGGCTGTGAAACACCTACAAAGATGCATCGGACACTCCCTCAGCTACGAATGCGTGCTGAAATCCGCTTAGCGTTGGCTGGTAGTGGAGTACTTCCCAACTCGCAGTGAAAGTAGTATCCTTACTTAGCTGCTTGATGTGCCAATAGTGGTACATTTCATGAACTTGTCGAAGCTTTCATCTACCGTAGCAAGTATGTTTCATAATCTAGCTCCGTCACCAGTTGACCCTCTGTGTCGTCATTTGTAGGCGACCCGAGGATATCAAGAAGCACAGTCTGAATCGACCTGCGTTTCCGCCTCTTGTCGTGAGCCTGGTATTTATTCATGGGTTCATACATGTGAACATCATGGAAGATCTAACCCTAAACAACACACTACAAGTCTATCGCGAGGCGAAAGATCTTGAGAACATAACTCCAGTTTATCTCGAAGACAAACACTCCAGCCTGTTCGCACATGTCACTAGAATCGCGCGATATAATGATACGTGGATGCTACAAATCAACCTATAGACACAAGATGACTGTCCCAATGTAATATCTCAAATTAATGCCTGGTCCACGAAAAACTGTTGTGCAGCTATCAGCAGAGCCTGCTCGCGCACCTTCCATGCACTCCCCACCTCCGCCTTGATCCTCGCCCGCGCTTCATGTTGCACCGACTTGACAGTCACCCTGAACGCAGCAGAGATAGGGCGGTGGTCCGAAACATTCGCCTCATACCTCCTATAATGTAGCTGCTGCACCCGAGACACCTCCCGCGAGCGCCAAAGCACACGATCGCACCAGGCGGGTACACGCGCCTTCTCCGATGTGTCGTACTCGGATGATCGCCGGTCATACTTGTACGTTGGTGGAAACATGAGAGGACCCTCCGTGAACGAGCGCAGCCGGAACCCTCGGTTGAATTTCATCTCCTTATGCAGTTGATCGTGCACTAGAAGGCTCTCGAGCTCGTCGGCTTTTATAGCGGCGATGACGGGCTCGCGGCGCTGGTCGATCCGGTAGTTCATGTCGCCATTCAACTAAAGGATATATGAGCATTCAAAGACTCATTCCTAGACACATCACAAATGGACACTCACGAAAACCATCTCGTGGTCAAGAACCATCGAACCGTCCCCGCCGTTCACATACGCAAGAGGCTCTTCAATAGTATCTGACTCGGGAAAAACAGATCCACCCTCTAGAATCGCTGCTACGTCAGCATTTCGCTGACGAACATGATGCTGGCCCGCGGCAAGATGACAATTGATGAAGCAGATGGATGTATCATCCACGACGAAACGAGCGACAATACCACCCTAGAAAGAATCGCTCAAAAGTATGCAAACATCGATGGCATACGGACACACCTTGTTTCCATACCTGCCTCCCATCCCACGTTTAATGGTTGTAATCGCCGGTTGCTTGAGAAAAGCACGCTCCGCATTCTTAACGAAAATACAACTGAACAAGCCCACCAAGTTCTCGGAATGGATCACAGTGTAAGGGTCGTGAGGCGGCATGGCCATTTTCACCGCAAGATTGAGGCGATCATACCACTTTCTGTACGAAGTCGTCACCTTTTCGGAGATCGTTCCATCCGCATTCTTGTTCTTGCCCCCCAGAAGCACTGTCTTTGCCGCCATCTTCCGACTCTCCAGGTCGATGAGCTCTTGGAATCCAAACGCAATGATGTGTGGGTTTTCAACGCTCAACAGCGCGTCTTGTAGGAAGTCGACATTCTCGGGGCATCCAGTCAGGGTGTCCGGCTTGGCAGAATCGCAATTCCACGAGACTATGAGTACATTTACGTCCCTGAACGAACTGAATTCGGCCTCTCTCTTCATCAGTTCTTGATCTAGGAAAAAAAGGGCGTCAAGGGAAAAGGCGTCAAGAGTGTTCAGATGGCAGCATGAACATGGTTGACTTACCGACCCACTCGGTTCCCAACAAGCCATCCCAAAAGCGGAGTTTCTCGTCTCTTCCAACGCTGAACACTGTAAGTCTACCGAGCTTTTCTATGCTCCAGGTATCCACAGCCAACCTAAGCACTGGTAGTTTCGGATGCGCTTGCCAGCTGTTCGTGACAATCCAAGGTCTAGGGACAACATCGTACGCGGAGATCATGCCAATCCGACTGCCAGCCCACATCCGATCATTCACGCCCTCCAAGCTCATCACGTCCGATGTAGACACTTTCACGACCTCCTCACACATCGGCATACCGTCCTTCGTCGTGCGTATCCATATGCTGACATTGCCGCCCTCGTGTCCAAGATAGATGCGGTCTGGCTGAGATGGAAGGATGGTACCTGACGTGACAGCGCCAAGATGTTCAGTCGGTAACAGCGATCTGCCCGTACTTCCGGGCGAGAAAACATCATACACCCTGACGATTGGACCCCGCGACGTACTTGTAGCAGTACCAGTGCCGTTCGATTCCCGTGTCGAAGTCCATAGCTGCCCGCCAAGCATCTTCGCAAATTCTTGTTTGTCTGCGATCCGCACGACTCGCGGCTGGGTGTATGTGAGGTGCACGTCGTCTGTTCCGTCTTCCGGCGAGAATACGAGCACCTTGCCCGTATCATCCATAGTGACCATCGACTGCGCATGGCGGAACATATGGGTTACCGTGTGTGCGTGCGCGGACGGCTTCACGCCGACAATGCTTCCGGACCGTATGTCCAACTCGAATAAACCACCATCCTTCGTACCGAGCCAGAGAAACGAACCCCTGTCTACTGCCTTCGCCGCTGGTCGGAACTCCATCGCCGTGATCTTGAACCCGTTAAACCTCTCCACTCCTGCATCCTTTGTGTCAATATTCCAAACTGGTGCCTCTGACACAGACAAGTCGTATATCTTCAGGTGATGGTGGTGGCCGACCGCTACGACATGACCAGATACGGCTACAACGGCGGAGTATGCGGCAACGTGAATGCTGGATTCCGAGTAGTTATGGCAGTCAATCGTGGGTGGTCGGCGCGACGAGCGAGTCGTGTCTGGCAGTAACTCGACTTTCTTGACGTCCTCCTCTTCGGACTCACTCGACGACCCCGAATGCGTCTGCCGCCGCGCAGGTGGGAGCCTGTCGCCCGGACCAATCGTGCGAGTTGGGGGTGGTGGATGCGCTCCAAATACCTTACGCTCCCCGGCTGGCGGCTGCTCCGATTCGGGCATACCCTTGAACGGGAAACGTCTCGGCGTATCGTCAACGGGCGTTGCAGGGCCTTTTCGGGCAGGTAGGGGAGGTGGGGACAGTGATGATGTGCTCAATGCGGGTGCTGGCAACGCGCCGACAGCAGGGACGGACGACAATTTATGTCGTGGAGGAGGCCGCGGCGGAGGAAACAAGGGTCGAGGGGAAGAAACGTGCTGCGGAGGATGTAAAGCGAGATGAGTGGTGCTGACGTCACTTTCACTGGAATTATAGTCTGCGCTAGGGGCGGCCTCCTGCTCGGACTGCAAACTGTCTCCACGTGCATGGCCGTGGCCATTCGATGGTCTACTACTCCGGGATGGCAGCGGGGGTGGATCTGCTGCGACTGTGCCGTCTGAGTCGGAGGCGGAAGAGTCGCTGAACGGATCTTGTAGAGCAAGAGCACCTGAAGACGTGCTACTCAAGGAAGACGTGCTCGACGAAGCTGAAGAACTGCCGGATCCGCGATGGGCAGGATATGAATGCAGTGACCTGCGAGGTCGCCCTGAGGTAGCTGAAGGTAATGGGGACGTGACAGAGAATGTCGTGATCGTATGAGACAAGGCGCGCCCGGGTGATTGGATTGGCTTGGAGGCATATTGAGGGCTGGGCGAGGGCAAATTTCTGAAAAAAGAATATTAGCCCACGGTGATCCCATGGGATGCTAACACACGATCATAGTACACCCACCCATACTTGTTTACTAGAGTAGAGACATCGGCAGCGCGTGGCGATGCGGTCTGTTCAACTTTGGTTTCATGACATGGTGGAGGTGGCGGGGGCTTCCTAGAAAGAGAACCGGATTTGTTGGGAGACACAGGACGTACACTCGAGGGCGCAGTACTCTCAGAGCCTAGGAGCAAGGATGGAGGATCGGACGCAGGGACCGGTCGGAGAAGAGGGCTCAGCGGAGGCGGTGCGGGCGACGAGGCCCTCGATGAGCGAGCAGGCGGAGGTGGCGGGGGTCGCTTTACACCCGTCTTCAAATCCGACGAAGACGAAGCTGGACGGAGGATATGGATGTCTGGTCTGGGGTCGTTGAACCCCGAGCTGGCCCGGGGTCGAGGACTCGCAGGCTCGGCAGTGAGCAGCCCGTAAGAACTCATCGGCCGCTTCGTCGTCAACTGCGACGCCGTGTCCGCTGCAAGCTGCTCGAATCTGGAGCGCAGACTGCTCACCGCCGGAGGTGGGGTCGACTCGATATCGGGGGGGTCCATTAGATGCAGTTCGACCAGCGACCACAAAGGATATGAAATCTACAGACTCGACCAAATTAAGGACAGAAATGACGAGAAATTAAGGGAATATTGCGCTTGCCGACGTCGACGATGAAGAGGGTAGAGTTCGACGTCGTCGCCGTCGATGAACTCGTCCCATGCCGACGTGACATTGTGACCCGCCGTGCTCTTGCGCCAGTAACGCGTGACGCGCACGCGCTGTGCGCGCGCCGCGTGCGACGTTGTTTCTCCTTTCTCTGTCGGCTTTGTTGTGTATCTATTCGAGCAACTGCACTCCCTGCCTTTTATTCGGTAAGCAATTGTCCACCGCGTATGTCCCTTTTATTCATTCCTTGTAATCACTAGGCAACAATTGCTGTCCGTTGGATCCTCTGTAGCCCTCTGCGCACTGTTCATCGCGCAACAGCAGTCCTTTGTCGACAGGGATGCGCACACAGTGCTCTGGTCCGCCAGTTTCATAACTTACTCCATACGTCTGCGAGTTCTCCTGGATCTTCTTACACGGATGCCACTCTTCAGCAGCTCATCCGGGCACCCAGTCTCGCACCAGAGGACGAGTGTCCGAACGTCATTCAATTGACGATGCAACGCTTACAGAAACACCTTCGTAACAAAAAGGACGTTTTAGCAAGACGCGAGTTCTTCTATTTTATTGGCAACAAGAACAATGTACTCGTGGACAATCGTATTCGTTTTTACGCCTGCGAACGCGCCATTGCCCTCTTCCTCCGACATGGTTTCCCACTCTCTGCTGCTATGGTCTGTGGGCGCATGGTCAACGAGGGATTTGTTCCTTCCGTCTCTGCCCGCACCCAGATGGCACTTATCACGCTGGCTGAGCGTTCCCCTGATGAAAACACTCTTCTAGAGGCCATAGCTGAATACTGTCGACAGGCATCGTTTGACGAACGCTGCATGCGTGACGTCGTTCATCTCCTACATGAGAGCATGGGTTGTTCCCCTGAGATTATTGATAAGGCGATAAACGTTTTTATTCGGTCGCAGGATCTAGAATATTCTCTGTCTCCGGCAACTGTTGGTCTTTTGGTGCATATTCATGGATGTGCAGGGTCTATCAAAGGTGCTCAACACTGGCTTTCCACTCATCGTCCATGTAATCCTCAACACTCGGGTACCATGGATGTCCGGGCGCATCCGTACACTACTCTTCTGCGCAGATTGGCCGACGAAATGTCTTCGGAGCACGACGATCATGGGGTTTACCGGTGGGTTTTCGAGCAGATGGTTGAGAATAACATCATTCCCGACGTGGCATTCTACAACGCGTTCATGAATGTAGAGATTAAGCGCCGTCGCTACCCGCAAGGCTTCACGATCTACCGACTCCTTTGGCACCATCGTACCGGGACCGAAACACCTGACGCGTACACCTATTCGTTACTCTTCCAAGCCTTCCGCAAGACGTACGAATCACGAAGCTTCCGCAATCGTAGAACCCGCCGTCCTGACAGCGCGCCCACTCCACGACAGCTGTATCGCGATATGTACGAATGCCATTGCTTACGAACGCAGGGAAAACGGTCGAAGCCATCAGCGGTGATCACTTTGGATACACTCCATAATGCCTTGTATATGTTCCTGCAAGCAAGAGACTATCCCGCAGCGTTTGTTGTGCTGCGTACGTTTAGGATGCTTGGTCTGAAGCCAAGATTATACACATACCAGCTAATCTGCTCCCTGCTCTTGCGCCGCATCTATGAAGAACTTCCACTCCTCTCGAAGGAATCGTACCCCGACCGGGTTTGGTCTTATCGATTTCTCGGCATGGCATCATATCCCATCGGGCAGAGTGTGCCGAAAGGCATGCCGCTTCTTGCGGCAATCCTGCGCCTTGGAACGGTGTCACGTCTTAGCTTAAGTTATATACCAGTACCTCCCGAAACTATGAACAAGAGCGGGGACTCAAGTGGCGAGAGCAAGGTAGAACTTAGTAGGAGCTCGTCTGCTTCTTCCCTCGCGGTGGAGGATATACCCCATCCGGAAGTATCGGCATCCGTCACACTCGGAGAACTTCATAACATGCCGTCTGCGGAGCTGGTGGTTCAAACGGATTCGAAGACCGATGACACTAAGGAGTTCGCGCTCGCTCCGCTTGAGCGCGTTCTCAGGCGGGCAATACTGAGTACTCGTCCAAGTGTAGCTATTTCACCGGCGAAAGAGGTAGCTGTCGAAATCGCAGAGGCAAAAAGAGAGATGATAAGCCAGACGTTTGGCATCGGGATGTATGCTGGGGGGTTGGCGCTTCCAGCAGAGTCAGATGAATCGTATTAACACAACTTGTACGTGGAGTTCGAGAACGATATCGTCCGGATGATGAATCAACGCTTTTGGGCTCTTCTGACTCTACAATGATCTCGTTAGTTACTGCGAAAGCGGACTGATGGGAAAAAATCATATCGCCCTTCCACCTACGAGCACGTTCTGGAGCGTAAGGGCTTGTTATCGCTGACATTGCTCGGTTCAACATACATGCGAAGCCATGAAGATGTTGTCTGTCCTGGTTGCGAATTCCATCGTATGCTATTGAAATGTTTTTATAGACTGACAGCCTCGAGTCTCCCCGAAACACTACAGCGACGAAGTTCAGATTTGACAGAGTCTGGGAGCGACTCACAAAGTAGTGGACAAATTAGGAAAGCAAAACGATCGATCAAAATAGGCAACTTTGTTTACCGATAAGGCAATCGTCCTGGATGCCGCTCGTCCTCGCGTACAAAGTACAAGGAAGCATCCTGAAATCCCCTGCGAAGTACAGCCTAAATTTAACTGGGAAAACTACCTCAGTCATGAAGTCCTCCAACGGGAAGTGCGTTAGTCTTCTCTTGTGGCAACGTCGCGGTTGAGAAGAGCCAGCGGTATAATGAATTCAGTCCCAAGTAGAGGCCAACCGCCACATTCATTCAAATACAAGGGCACACCTTGCTTGAGTATGCTGCATGTGCGTCTTCCTATACCTGTGAATTTTCTTATAAGATCCTGTCCTCGTTGTCCCTCGCTACGGGCCGTACATTTCGCAGCAATCGCCGTACACGAGGACGTCTCCTCCAGTCTCTACCCTCTTATATTCTTGCACGCCTTCGTTTTGTGCTATAGAACCCCACCATTCACCATTCGCTTTCACCCACTCATTTTGTCCATTCTCGCAAATATGTTCCTCTTCCGCAACTTGTTCGTCACCATCGCCGCCACGTCTGCTCTTGTGGCGAATCTGGTACCTTGTGGTGCGTAATCTGGCTATCCAGGATAGCAATCCCTCTGAATACTTTTTACGTAGCCTTTGCTGCTCCATGGTACCCTATGCATTTCGTGATGGAGGAAGATCCCGCCAACCCACAGACGACCACAGTGTCATGTTTTATGGACGCACCAAACGCCATTTCCACTGCTATCGATTCGTCTATAGCGTCGGCTGCTGTCCCTACGGAAACTTCAGAAGCTACAACGGAAGCTATGTCCTTTGTGGCGCCGACCCCCATCCCAGTCAGCGAGTCCTCATTAGAGCCGGAGCCGACCGCGACCACTGTGCGTAGAATCATTCACCAATTCTAATTCATTCCGTAATTCTGATCTTGCCCTTACTTTGATACAGAACACCGCTGGAACGGAAGAAGCGGCGGTGCAGCAAACGAGCAGTGCTCTTCCTGTAAATGTACTTGGAGGTCAAAGCCTCCTTATCGGGTCCGCCGCCACCATACTTTACTTCATCTTGTGAAGTGCACCATTCAACATCGCCTAGCCCATCCTCACAACACCCATCCTACTACATCTGCTTCTTCACATTCGTCCATATCCGCCACACTGTCCACCGTGGAAGGATGCAATTTGAAGATGCCCACGGTCTTTACAGAGTTTATTTACTGCTATCTATCTCGCTTTGTATCGCTGTTCCAAGTCGTCCTTTCGCTTTGTGTTCTTAGCTCTCTGTTGACATTGTAGCATAACCCTATCGTACTAGTCGCCGCTCACCTGTCGCAGTGTATAATTGGTTGTACCGTTTTAGAATACACAGAATATTTTGTTTGAACATCCTCTCCGAGCGCAGAGCCTCTACCCATATCATTACCAAGTATAAGCCGAGGAATTTGAATACAAAACCGTTATCTCCGGAGAGAGCCGAAGCCGTGGGACTGGTCCTTGTATGGAATGCGTGGGCGACGCGGTCTCGCTCGTCCGTCGCCTGGTTCTCCTGAACCCCCTTTGCATCGTCTCCGAGAGCCATCTCAACTCATCGGTAAGCTCCCGCATTCGCCGTCAAAGTCTGCAGCTATTCTTATTTTGTACACGAATATCTCGGACATCCACCACCCATCCAAACGCTTACGATCTCCATGGATTCAGTTCGGCTTATCGACCCTATCGAGCATCGCAATGGACCCGATAATCCGTCCGGCGACGTTCACCGTACCACTATCTCCCGCCACTGCCCAGCATAAATTCCATTCTCAGACGCAGCCGGACAAAGAGAACAGAAGCGATGCGCAACTGACCCATCTGGAGGCAGCGTTGAAACGGTCTATCACGATCGTGTTTTGGTATAAAGTGAGCAGTACAACTTGACTAGGCGGTTTCGTCGTATACTGAACTTCGGCCATTTTCACTTGCTCGTACTCTGCAGTCTGACTGTGCTCCTATTCGCCTGCACGAAGAGGTTTCCACCTTTCCATTATTCCAGCTTTCACAATGTGCGCAGCTTGTGGCTGACCTCGGCATATCCCCTTCCTCGTACGTGGATATATACAATCCGCATGCCTGTACTTGGGAGCAACAGATGATTTCTGCAGTTTGTGTCGTAGAGAGCGAGCAACGGTTGTTATTCCGCATGCGACAGAGCTTACTAGATGGTTTGGGCGATGCTGAATGTCCTGGTCTCAGTGAAGAGGTGTCCATGCAGACCCATCACTCGGTGAAGCAAGCATCATCCAAGAACGGAAGAAAACGAGGGGCTCCCGCTTCCTTCGATGACCGGATATCTGCCAAGAAGCATGCTCGAACGGACGCGTTTCCTCAATCCCAGCCTTGGACGGAAATTGGCGAGTATCACGCCGCCGGAGCGCAGACGTTTCCTCTCCCATCACCTACCTCTGTGTCTGGCGCGACTGCCCCGGAGATCTCATGTTCCACTAGCGGGCCTCAACCCTATGTTCCACAAAATCAATTTGTCAACTTCACACCACCAATGCCCGTCGCGCCATCGTCGCCATCTCCTGCCCTCCCGTCCGGCCCTCTGCTAAAGAAATGGCCCAACGATTATACAGTGTACGAACTGTCCATGGGTTTCCGACAAATGGACATGTTGATTGCCCAGCAGCCGTCGCTAACTCAGCGTTCTGCGTTTGAACGTGTGTTCGGGTGCCGATACGTCAAGTCGACAGTGTGCCGTCATCGGGGCGTGTGGCGGCGCGCAGAGAAGGAGCTCCGCGAGACATATGAGCAGATGGGCACGGACGAGCGGGCGGTGTGGACGGAGTTTTTGAAGCGCATTGAGGGCGGTACAGGCCGGTCGGATGTGAATGGGAAGAGCAAAACGAGACAGGCACCGTTGGCAGGAGAGATGACAGTGGTGATGGCGCCGCAGATGGTACAGATGGGTCTTGTCCCTTCGGAAGGGGTGGTCGCGCGAGAAAAGGCGCCAGTTATGGGCTCGCTGGGGACACCTCCCCCGGATCTGGACGAGAGTAAGTTGTATCCTCTTGCATTTCTTACTGATGGCCTAACATTAATTTCGGCAGATACATTACAAGAAATACGCCGTGAAGGCTCGGCGTATGAAGAGAGCAGCGTTGGTGGGTCACATTTTTGATATCCAGCTACTTTGTGCAACTCATCTTTCTGTTCTTCTCGCAGCTTCTAGTTCGGCCGATTATCAGAAAGCGCCTCCACATCCAAGAGACACAGCATTAGTAATGGAGACAGCGTTGCAGTGAAAATCTTTCGCATAGTACTCCTGATGTGTAGTAGTTTTCCTCTGTAAAAAATTTCTCCCTCTACAATTCATTAGCGAATATGTCGAGCCTATGATCTGCGCATGAGTGGTCCACATGCGCCCACAACGCGTCGCGACGCGTTCATTTACTGGTGGTGTTTTTGGCCTGAAGCGGAATTACGTCACGCGCCCACGCGAGCCTCTACATTCTACTCGGGCATGAGACGCGACTTACAACTCTACACTCACATTGCATCCGGCTGGCCTTGCTTAGTTATATCTTATTCCGTCCGTGACCAGAAGATTCGAGACTTCCGCAGCGTCCTCATTCCCTGGCATTTAGAAGTGCAGCAGCATGGCGGCCTCAAGGCTGAAGCTTATGCACAGCGACGACGAACAGGAATTTCAATCTCAAGGCGACCAGGACACGTCTCTACCGATGGACCGTATCCGACGATTCAAGGACTCGGTCCATGATTATAGTACGTCGTTTGCCACCTTCGCCACTCCATAAATTGAGGTTGAGCATGCAGTACCTTTTGGACCCGAAATTTGCGCGATCATCGACACGTATGTCTTGCATGGCGCAGAATGAGTAGTGGAGCTATTTATGGACAGCTACTTTCTGTAGGCCTCAGTTTCAACGTTTGCGAAACATCAAGCAGTTAGGAACGTCTTACTATGTCTGGCCGGGTGCCGCACATAACCGATTTGAGCACTGTCTAGGTATGTTTCTGGCCTGAAGACTGCATGAATGCGCGGGATATGCTTATGGAATGCCACAGGCGTCGCCTACTTGTCGCATTGCATGGCTGAACACTTGCAAAAGTGCCAGCCCGAGCTAAAGATCACTCGTCGAGACATCAAATGCGTGACAATGGCTGGTTTGTGTCACGATCTTGGACACGGTCCGTGGAGCCATGTATGGGATGGCCTATTCATTCCAAAAGCATTGTGAGTGATGTCATTTTGATATTCTTTGTATTCCTGACCTTTCGTTTGTGTATGGTCCAAAGGCCCGGTACTGCATGGCAGCATGAAGATGCCTCCGAAATGATGTTTGACATGCTCATAAAAGAGAACAACCTCGACATACCCGAGCATGATGTTACGTTCATCAAGGCTCTGATTGCTGGTAATCCCAGCCGATGTAGGTGAGTATCAGACATTCTTCTCGCGAAGTTCTAGAGCATAATAGCTGTTATCATTGTGTATAAAGAGACCGCCAAGAGAAGCAGTTCTTGTTCGAAATTGTCGCGAACAAGCGGAATGGATTAGACGTGGACAAGTGAGAGGGTGACAACTTCGACGCATCCAGTCTCTCTAACAACGAAACGAACTTATTACATAGGTTTGACTACATCGCTCGTGACACACATGCTATGGATCTGAGGGGTAACTTGTCTCTTACGAGGTGCGTTGCACGGTGTGAAATATACACCATGGAACTTAAGGGAGCCGTAATGCGATTGAGGTTAATACATTCTGCTCGTGTTATTGACGACGAGATCTGTTTTGACATCAAGGATGCAAACCAAATTTATGAACTCTGTTATACGAGATTTAGTCTCCACAAGCGGATCTACAACCACAAGACAGGTATTTGATATCTGACTTCCAAAATTATGAACCTGTGGTCTCACTTCTCATAGCCAAGGCTATTGAGTACATGATTGTAGATGCATTGTTGGCTGCAGAGCCACACATGAAATTTGCAAGTGACATCACAAACCCTCAAAAGTATCTCTATCTCACCGATGACTTAAGAGCAAGGATTGAAGCATCAGAAAGTCCGGTAAGGATAGAGGTGCTACTTCGATGGATATCATTCACATGTCATTTCGCAGGAGCTGGAGAAAGCTCGTTCAATCCTGGGTCGTATACATAAGCGCGATCTATACAAGTGCGTTGACTACAAGGTGTTCCCGTGGTCGCGTAAGGACATCTGCGAGGAATATTTCACTCCGGAGAAGATCGTGCAGGCTGCTCTTGCTGACAACGGCGATGATCCCGATGCGTTCGAACATGGGGAGTTGACCGCGGATCATGTCATCGTCGATCTGGCCAAGATGCATTATGGGATGAAGGATAAGAACCCTCTAGACTATGTCAAATTTTATTCCAAGCAACATCCCAATAGTAAGCTCGTTCTTTGAATTGCTACGACATGTTGCTGATGCGATTAGTACGGTCAGCAAGCGAAAGAGCAAATTTGGATGACATATCTCTTCTGATGCCCTCAGTATTTGGGGAGGTGCTTCTGCGCATATACACGAAGGAGAAAGAGTGCGCTCATCTCCATTTTTCATGACGTTGCAATTGCGCTGACATCTCTCTGATTCAAGGTTTCATGGACTCGTGCAAGCGGGGTATCGGACTCTCCTTGCACAGATGCCTGAGCCACTCCCAGACCCTCTGGACTCACCCGAACCGCGCGAATTAACTCCGCCGCTTGAGTTTCAAGTACCATCTACGCCTCCGATGCGGAAGCGGCCATTGTCGCGCGTACAGAGCGCGGGAGCGCGGTTTTTCAGCGGTGAGAGTGATATCACACCGTCACTGTCGCAGAACAGCTTCACGTCAGTGCCGAAGAACTACACGGGGCGCCCACAATCGCCAACACATAAGAAGAGCAATGGCCAGAAACGAGAGCGGGAGCCCGAGGTAGGATCAGGGTCTCCCCCGCTCAAGAAGAAAAGGGGAGCACATTAGGGCTGCCAAAGCAGCCAGGTCATAAGCTCTCGCTTCATGGGCCAACTCTACATCTCTATGGTTTAGTTACATCACTACTAATAGATTCTATCTTTGCCACTGGTCATCTCGCTTTCACAGTTTTGTTTTCGCTGTTTAGGCTTTGACTTCGTAGATGATTACAGCCAAGCCTTTCATTAGACTCACATTAACAGTGTAATCCAGTATATAATCTGTGCCTTTGACATTGTCGCACAATGCTATTATCTTGCTACTGGTTTTCTGATTCTCGCCTGATAGTTGCAGCTGCTGCGGATCACTTCCGCGACCGACTCGCGTAGATGTCTCCGTCATTTGCAGAAAATCTAGCAATCGTTCAGGCAGCCCTTATTCAAAGACGGGTTAATCTTGGAGGCCAATCGCGATTCTCAAGTATGATAGAATCAATCGTGCGCGCAGGAAAACTTGTATGGCTAAAAAAACTGATCGCGTCCTCTTATACAACAGCGACGTTATATGCGAACAGGTCGTTTATCGTCCGGTCCTTCGCAGGTGCGCAGAGCGTATGAGTGCCACCATGATGGTCTCGAACAACTTGAAGGTGTGTCCACTGAACGGCTTGTGTCGAGCCTAGAGTTTGCGACATGTCACAAGTCTCGTGACAAGTGATGCTACGCGTCCGACTCATTAGAATCCAGATGAGAGTCGCGCGTTTTCCTTCCTCGCCGCGATGACCATGATGACCAGGAGACAATCCCAGAGGCAGCGCTCCCCGTCGATTGTTTTCGTGCGGATGCAGCGCACAGCACCGGCGCCGTTCAACCACCCGGACGCAGACCTTATTCTCACCACCTGCGCTCCTACCCGTTTTCTGGTTTCTCGTCTGACAATCGTCGCTGCCTCGGACTACTTCCGCGACCGACTTGCATCCACGCCTCCGTCATCTGCACAAAATCCAGCAGTCATCGACGGACTACCGGAGTCCGATGCTACCATGGAGACTATCCTGCGCCTCATATATCCCGTCCCAGAACCGCTCCTGTGCGACCTCGACGATCTCTCCGACGCGTACAACGCAGCCACCAAGTACAAGATGCAGAAAGCCCAGCTCACCCTGGAGCGAATGCTCCTCGCACCGCGCTTCCTCGAAGCCGAGCCTGTTCGCATATATGCCATCGCTCGGAGATTTGGCATGGTCAATATCGCCGAGACCGCTGCCGAATACGCGCTGCGTGTCTCTCCGGTGTGGCCATGCTACGAAGAATTCAATTTCATCCCAGCGCGAGACTATCACACGCTCGCCACCTTTCATCGCGAACGCTCCCTCGCCGCCGCCGCGTGTCTCGACTCCTCTCTCTTTTCCGCAATGCTAAGGCCTTGTGAGGTTTGCGACGAGCCAAAGAAAAGGCGGAATCCCCTTTGGTGGAAGCAATACGTTGCCCTTTGTCGCCCCGTCCTACTGGAGACTCCTGTAAGCACTGCGGTGTGTGATCCGAGCTTCGTACACAAGATCGTGACATCGAACACCTGCAAGCTGTGCCGAGGGTCTACTTTGGAGGCCTTATTTCCTGGCGGGGCTATTCATAAGCTGAAGCAGCTCCTGGATGACTTGCCGCATACGATGCATCTTGAGTGAAAGTGTGTTACTTGATCTGATGGGCTGCATGTTCCGAATATACACAGCGACCAGGTGTCCAATGTCCCGCGAGCCGGGAGAGGGGGGGGGTTCATTATGATTATCACAGTATGTACGGACGTTGTGATATGTGTATCAGCGCAAATTGAAATTGAACACGTCGCAAAAGCGACTCTTCGCACCTTTGAGTCCCTTGCCTTTCTGCTGATGCCGTATATCACCGTCTACTCATCCAAGCTGAGCGGCCAGGACCATATCTGCCCATTTTTCGATGATCGTGACTGTCGGAGCCTGGAGGTGTGCCTACAACCTAGGGAAAGACAGACGAGTAGTGATACGTCGAACAGTTGTTTTCCTGAATGTAATCATTCGGCTCTGCATCACTCTCGCCTGTCGCGTCACATCAGTCGCCAATCCAGTTTATATGCGGGAATCCAACACACTAGCGATCACTGACCATGGCTGGAGCGTCCCTACCACAGTCGAAGACAGTTCGATTGCGTACAAACCCATGCTGGGAAGACAGGCCAGTGGTTGTTGTCGAAAGGACACGTTGTCCGAACCATAGATACCCCAGATACTGAAGAGCACTAGGTACGTTTACCCTGCAGCCGAGTGGATTACCACGCAACTGCAAAAGGACCTCGAGGACACAGATCAGGATCCGTGCTCCGTGAGGCCTTGAGGACGCACTTCTGGCTTCTAAGGTCATGCACATATGCATATATGAATTCTATCGCGAAGCTAATCTCGGAGAAGCTCACCTCGAGGCGAACATGAGGCCACAGGGCGCGTTGATATACTAACACGATAATCAACTGCTCCGGGAAGTTAATTCCTCTCAATCCTAGTCCTATCGCGACGAAATAAGAGTTATTGAAATCGCGGTTACCAACTTGAACAACATCTGCCGAGAAGACTACTACAACACACCATGTTCATAAATGCATATACTCATACCCGCAGACCCGTGTTCAGACAAAGATGTTTCATCTGAGGACGATATCCAACTTTGTATATCGGGAACTTTGTGGCCGTCAACGATCCGTTCAAGAACATCTCACACACTTTTGACTCGCCGAGATGGCCGCAGCTGGAAGCCCGTATCATTGACAGCTGTGCCTAACCCAGAGTTCCTGTTAGCGCGCAAAATTCTTGGTGCAGACAATGGCACAAGCCTACCTCTTTGGGGAGAGCACAGAATTCGTCTGACCCCATGACCTCCGGGGTTGCACATTTGAATGTACCGATATAGAACGTCCTAAACACGATCTCGATTTCCCCACATTGTTGCATTTGCTTCATCGCACGCAGCTTGCACGGCTTCCGGGTGCCCCCCGGCGTGAGAAACTGACTTTGGATAACGAAAAAGCCAGTGTTGGGACAATCGGTCCAAACGAAGTTGCAGCTATCCTTTCCGTTCGAAGAGAGCATGTGTACGTTGGCTCCGCTGTTCCAAGTACGTCAGTCATCAAAGTAACATATCATTTAGTTGAGAGAGCCATTCACAGAAGCTACATGAATAGTACATATATTATTGCAATCGGTGCACAGTATGATAACAGGAGACTAACCTCAGCAAATGATTCAAGGTTGAATACTCCAGTAACAGACCTAAACATTGCCTTGATTTTATCGAGATTTTCGGGCAGCGTCAGTGATGTCATGAGAGGGGCAGAATTCCTAGAAGTGGCTGCCTGGGGAGGGCCGTCTCCCGGAACTACATCATCTAAAACTCTAGGTGTACTATAGAGTTTCGCCTACCACGGGGATTTCCATTAGTCAAAAAGCTGCACAATGACGATATTCCTGACCTTCGCCGCCTCTAATTCTGCTCGGCATGCTGCAAGCTCAGCACGAACAACGTCGAGCTCTTCTACATGTACTTTTGTTTTCTGCGTCTGTGAAGCATGATTATCAGTACAATAAAATAAGTATCGGCAACGTCGTGCCGTCACCTGAGCCTTGCGATACAGCTCCAGCTGTTCATGGAGTAAAAATCTTTCCACGTTGCTTTCGGTAGTCATTTCACATAAATGTTGTCGCAAGTCATTCGTCATCACCTATTCGCGCAGAAATCATCGTGTAGAGAATCCCGAATATCTAGCATCCAACCCACATTTTGATCATCGAGCTCATTGAGCAGCAAGGAGATCTGCTCCTTTACATCATTCTCTGCTACCGCCCACTCGGCTCTAATGTTTGCTTCTCGCTCCTGTTAATACTGTATGAGCTATGCCGATGAAAACGATTTACTGATACTGATACAGGCCTGATAGTCTTTGTGTGTATTTTCCAGCTCCCGCTCCTGTTCATGAATTCTCTTGAGTAGAGCTTCGTGATCAGCCTGATACATGATCGAGATTGAACATTGGATGAGTCAACTGAAGCATGCAAAACATACTCGTGATTGAGCGAGATCCTCTTCTAGTGCAGCTTTGCTCTCCTTCTCGGATAGAAGCATACCGGAAATTTCGTTCTTCTCAGCCTGTCCAAGTATGAGGGTCATGTGCAAGCTATGCCAAGATAAAAAGAGCGTACAAGGAGCGTGTCAAAATCACTATTCAGTTTATCGAAATTCATCTGCAACTCTGCATTTAGTTTCTACATAATAGTATATTAAAGGCAGTCTACGTGGAGCATCCAACATGAATTATACATTTGTAACTTCCAATTCCTCTGACACGCTTTGAAGCGCTGGGATAGGTTTAATCTTTGCGAAATATGACCAGTTTGATCTCTATTATCAGACTACGACAAAATTGAATACTTACCTTGTCCACCAAGTCGCACAACTGCTCTCGCAATACTCTCACGTCCGAACAATCGCTGTCTTGCAGTGGTCCACCGCCGATCAACTTATCGAGTTGAAACTGAAACATGAGCGAATTAAATGAAATTTGACGGACGAACTCACCTCGTTATTTGCGATTTTACGGCGGAGACGTGTGATCTCCGTGCTCTGGAGAGTCAGTAGGCTCTGAACAGTAGCATCTGAGATCTGTATGGGCACCATCAGGGCAATCGCTGGTTACACTATTGTCACAGAGCGAGTGCGTTCCACAGCTGAGGGCAAGGTTAAAGGCACACAGCTGGAGAACGAATGCGCTACGAGACGAGGGGGGGGAGATACTGCTCAGGTCATGGGTTGACTCTTGTATGCATGGCCCGTCCCAGTGAAGGTTTGATTGGACGCGCAAGATGCATCGGCAGCTGATGCCGAAATCTGGACTCGCAGACGCTGGTTGTTGCACACCGCGGCAGTGTGGCGGAGCCTCTTTCGCCGGTGCTCATTACTCCGGATTGCTGAAGTCCCCAAGGAGGCCTCATGTCCCGAGCAGCTGCAAGATCCTCGCCTCTAGCTTTGGCAAGCGCAAGATGAGCACGGTCGCGCGAGAAGTGCTCCCAAATATGTCAAAGAGATGAGCTCGGGTGGGTTCATCTGTCCCTCATTCAACTATGCTGCATTCTGCCCCTCTTCATCCCACCAGTAATACCCAGATTCAATGGAGGGAGTCCAGATCAAGTTGTCGGAGAGTATACATCACCGGGATTCAGACTCATTTGGTTACGATGCCTAGTGAAGGAAGGTGGATCAGGAAATTTTGGATTTGGTACATTTCCTCGATATCTCTAGATTGTGTAGTCTGGTTGAGCCTACTAGTGTCGAATAGAATCCCATCGTGTTTTTTTTGACTCCTTTCATTGTCCGCTAGGGCCTGGCCCAGTCTTCAACACGTCTGGGCACAAGACCAGGCCCGTGTAGACAGAAGGTACAATATATGGGCTAGTGTGGTGCACGCATGATCATACTAGATACGTTTGGCGCAGCCTGGGGTGCAAGACGCGCGCCGTGACATAGTTATGGTACATGGAATGGCCGAGGGGCGAGTGAGTAAGGATATGGACACGAATGATAAGCGAGTTACTATGCTACGTTAGTGGCGTGGCGGGCCTGTAGAGCTTGGCTCTGGCCATTGGAGATAAGGGACGCTCAGCCCGTTTAAAGGGGGGTTGCAACTATACTGAGGCTAAAGAATTACGAGAGAGGTGATGAGTGGTCGATCCGAGTCGGGTAACCCGAGGGAATCTGCAGGTGCCGAATAAGGTTACCGAACAATCTGGAATTGCCTCATGGTCTGGGCATAATGCATGAGCCTTGGCTTCGTCCATCATCATGTTTATCTGCCCAGACGCGATGTCATCTAGCCCATCCCTTTCCTTTGAGAGAGAATTCTCAGTACACCATTAAGTAAGATATGACTCTAGTGCTTGTTTGACGCACTCTACCATCAGTTTCTCTTGCTGGCTCTGAATGATAGAACTGGCACGCACCTCCACATGCCTTGCTTAAGTAGAGTCGAGAACTTAATGCGCTACTTTCGCCAACACCGTTCTTGTTCTATGGCAAATTCTGCACGCACATCTTCCCTCAAAGTCTGCTATCTGTCCAATGAAGTCGGTTGCCATAGAGGTATGCATATGGGTAAGTGGTGCTCACCTCCAATTCTTGAACGCGGTCTTCTAAGTCGTCGGCGCGGTGCATAAGTCGGCGGTTTTGATCTTGTTCATGGGCTATCTGCTCAAGGAACGTGTTCGCTCGTGCCTGTTCAAAGCAAAGTGAAGGCAAACGATTTCGACCTATAGTTGATGAGGCATACTTCAGATTCTTGCAACCTAACTTCCAATGCCGCCTTTTGGGCCAATATATCTTCCTGTCTCTCTTTTTCTGTAGAGAGTGTAGCACGGAGTGTAGCATTTTCTTCCTGTTCATAGTAATGTCGAGAAGAGAGGCATTAGTTTCTCCGCTTTTCATCGGCTATGATACTGACCTGAAACTGTTTTTGACACTTCACAGTGGAGTGAATCTGAGCTTCTAGTCCACCTTTCTCTATCAATAGTAGTGATACTTCATTCCTGAGCTTTTCCTTCTCAGCCTTCTCGGAAGAGAGTTGTGAGTTGATAGCAGCCTTTTCTTCCTGTTTGTATGCATTATGCAAAGCATAAGTGTTAACACATCATCAACTATTATTTCGGCCTATATGACCTGACCTCCCATTCCGATTGGTATTCCATGGCAGTTTGAAGTTCCACACTCAGCATAGTATTTTTATCCTCATTTCAAATGTCAGTCAACCCACAGATTTCAATCTGACACTGCATACCATTAGCGTGGCGAGAGAATGGCGTACCCCATTATATTCAGCACGAAGTTTGTCTAGACGGGCCTAGGTAGCTGTTGTGAGTGGATGTATGCATAGCACAGTTGCCTTAAAGTCTCGCGTCACCTCGCAATCTCTCAGCTGCTCCGCAACAGCGTGACCCTGGATTTCCCAAGAACTTCGTAAGACTCAAGAAATACTAGTATCCACGTATATTCATCGCTCACCTTTTCTCTTTGGGCTTCCAGTTCTTCGTGTACTTGCGCCAGATCTTCCAGCGAAATGCATCGGCTGCCATGTCCACAATCCACCTCAAGAAATTCTACCAGTCGACAAAGTTTCAATGAGCATACAGCATCAAAACCTACCCTTCTGGATTCCAACTGGGAATGTAGACGTGCTATCTCAGCAGACTGTAATGCAAGGATACCTTGTAGGACAGTAGAGGTCATTTGTACGGTGAGTTCTGTGGGATGCATGGCGCCCATCAATGGAGGAATATGATAGCCAAAGGTAATGATAAAGATAAAAGGATAGTTGAAACCGAAAAGTCGTTTGCGTTCTCGGCCTGGTCAGTCAACCCCCCGCTTGGGAGGGCAGAATGACTCAGAGAGCGACGACGTTGCGATCCTGCTAGTATATATCCCCAGATTGTCAAACCTTATCAGTCGGAGTCATAGTCATGAGGTGCAATTGACATATGCAGAGGCCTTTCTAGTTCAAGATACGGGCTGCATGCACGGGCGCAAATGCCAGATATGAATGTGAGCTTATATATACATTGCGGCTGCAGTGCTCGTTCGCAATGGGCTATAGTCATATTCAAAGACAATAGTAACACTACTGGCCGACCTACTAGTGACAACTGTGCAATCAAATTGGCGCAATCTGTCCTCCATATTGACCGTAGTGACCGTAGAGAAGGCCTGATGACTCGTGCTAATATGCAACTTCCTCTCTTTACTACCGTAGATGCCTACAAAGTTATCACATACTCTAATTCCTTTCAAATGACCGCAAGCTCTCTTGACGTCGGCCCCACTTCCAGAGATTTCAGTCGCTCATATAGTCCAACATTGTACCCTACGCGTCGTAATGGGAATACGTAGCGGTTAAAGGCCATGCCTTTCTTCGAAGAAGTTTGCGGTGGAATGCTCTGAACATCATCCATAGGTTACAATGTTCGTTAGCTGACTTTCCTTTAAAGCTGACATTGAAGACACACCTTTTTTGTTGGTCGTCCGGGTGCAGATATTTCATACAAACCTAGGTAGTAAGTGTGGTCTAAAGAGGAAAACATATGTATCTTGACCGAGTTGGCCACCCTACGGCTGAATTTTTGCCATCGGGACGGGGAAGGTTTTGTGTCAACCACAAAAGATCCCGATTCGACACATCCATTCCAATGAAGGATTCCACTATCAATTTCTACTTCATTAGGTGAGTCGCACTCCGAGCTATCATAAAAGAGCAGACCCGTCGTTAATGCTCAACAGGCAATCCAGAATGTTCTGGCAACTTACACGGCCTAATACCAAGATTAGGATTAGCTCCCTCCATGAACTGGAAGCAATCGAAATTAGACATACTTGTAACAGCTGGGCATGTGTCAATCCCCGCAATGCAAATGACCCAAAGATATCTTCTATTCTCTGACAAGCCATCTCGGGTTTGTATGGGTCTTCATGGTTTGGCTGTGCCTGGGTGTCCAGCGTCACCACAGTCGCATCCTGTATACTGGAGGCTGTTGCATGTGCCTATGTAGATGTCTATCAGCGATTGTCACCATCACCATCACCATAAATCACTTACGTCCATAGACTCAGGCTCTGCCGATGGCTCCAACAACTCCGCGTTAGTTACGATAACGTATGTGTCTAGCGACTAAATGTATATTGTATCGTTATTCGCACAACGGGACCTGTCACTATATCTTACCTCCTGATTATTGGAGACGTGGCGGGCAGCTTCGGATTGCCCAAGTCCTTCCGTATCGTTCTATTGGTAGCTAATGATCAGAATAGCCTGTTTCCAGGATATGTTCTCAATGTATATCTCACTTCTGTGCCTTGCATGCTACCATTCAAGGCTACCTCAACAGAACCAGCTGGAGATGAATTCACAGTATTTGGAGCCATGTTCTCAGCATTTACCGCCTATAGACGATACGACCATAGTCAGTTTTCACGCATTGACGCTTCACAACGAGACTGGCTGTTCACCTGTCCACTTGTAGACCCAGATCTAATGATCTCCGCAGATATCGTCGACGACCCGTTCAACAAAGCTGTTCCCATGCACATCTTGGAAAATAATGCTTTTGCTTCCTGCGCACGATTTACCCAATATCGGTGAGTGAAACGGATGTGTTAGTTACGAAATGACGCGCACTTCTGCATGTCTGGTTGTTGTTTCAAGCGCCTGACGATACCGCCGACACTGCTCCTGTTCCGCAACAAGTTGTGCGCATACTGTCTCGTTCGATGTCTATTTGTGACTATCATCAAACAAGAGATCACCTGTGCGCACAATGGGCACGTACCTGGAGCTCGTCAACTCTTCTTTCTAATATATTTGTATCGCCTGAGAGCCGAGAGATCGTGTCTTGCTCGCGGGATATCTGGTCAAGCAATGCACCCGTACGCATCTAGCAAAGGAGGTGAGAATCTTGTAGAAATCTTGGATATTCAAAATCACTTCCGACTCTTCTAAACGGGCTTCTACTATTGCCTTCTCGGCTAACAGTCCCGCGCAACATTGTGAGTTTCTCTCTTTCTCCTCCGAAAGCATCGTATAGACTCCAGCATTCTCCTCCTAACGTGCGTATAGGAAAACTGAGTCATCCTTCCGGATGTATGGATAAAGTCTGTGCTAACCTCCAGCTCCTTTTCACGCATCGTAGCAGCCTGAAGATTCAACTTCGCTTGATCAATGTCTTCCTGGCCTTGGGCTCGAATAGCAATACGTAGGTGTATGACAAGATCCATACCTTAAACTCCACAATAGTGCACTGTGCAGCATCAAGATCAGCGCGAAGGCTATTTACCAAGGCCTATATCATTATCAATAGCGAATCTGTTTTAACTAGCATATGAATAAATTTTACCTTGCTCTCCTCAAGTCGCTCTAGGGCAGCATCTCCCCCATCTGTCGACGGAATCTGTTTGGAAGTGAGACTATAAGACCTGTTATACTTAGATGTATCACATGGCGTACTGTAGCTGTCCTCTGTACCCCTAACTCTTCGCGCAAACGCTCAAGATCCCTAAGAGACGCGCACTGCCTGCCATGCTGGTGCTCTGCCTTGATGCCGGGACCATATGGTTCGATATCAGTTATCCTGGAAAATTGAGGCACCTCACCCTCTCAGCCTCGAGTTGGGCACGCAGCCGTACGATCTCCGCCGCTTGTAACGCAAGAAGATCTTCAATAACACTGTGTGACATCTGGACTGGTTCGGTGGGGTGCATGAACAACAAAAGAGGCTTCAAAACCACGCTGGTTGGAGCTATGCTTTAGGTCTACCACTGAGTAGTGCCAGTAACACCTCGAGGTAGGAGTCACAAGCAGACAAGATCATGGCAGCAAGCCCACAATTATATATTGACCGTTTGTTGATAGCAAACCTTATCAGCCAGAAGCACTGACATGAGGCCTTGATACGACAATACACGACTAGCTGGCTGCTCGGCGCCTACAGATCCTAAGCTGTCGCATACAGTGCATGAATTGAGTCCCACGTGCCACCCACACTATGCACTGACAGGTCGAATGTCGGTCCTGTCAAGGATCTAACATTAGTATATGACTAGACACAGCAGCAAATTGCAATGAACAACTCGTGATATGTTGTGAACGAACCTGCTGTTACATATCGAGCGCAAAATGTTGAATAAGTCTGCGTCGTATCCCACCCGTCTCACTGGAAACACGAATAACCTATCCGTGGGCTTCTGCTTCTTCATCTATTGAAGTTAGGACGACACTTTCTGCACAGCAAAAATGATGCAGCACATACTCGGAAAGCTCCAATCCAGCCACTCTCAGATTTCTCAGCGACGACCTTCGGTTCGAGCATTTCGTATAGCCCCAAGTAGTAGGTGTCCCTCCCTTGATCAAAAAAATGCATTTTTGTTGAAACTTCTTGCCGCTTCTTGAATGTGTGGTATGTTGGAGTATCCGTCATGATGACGAACTTCCCTGTTGCAACAAGCTTATCCCAGCAGAAATTTCGGAAAACGTCGAGGATTTCAAAGTCAATTGATTGACCATCCCTGCCCGTGAATGCAACGCTGAATGATGGACTCCAATGATTCTATCGTTTGACTGTTCAAAACCATCACTTACATGGCCTAAACAGCACGTCAGCATGACAACTTCATCCAGTATGATAACCATCGGACCCACATTTGCTATTTCATCTCGCTGCAATTTTCGTGGGCCAAGCGATTCAAAGATGTCCTCGACATGCGAACCGCTCATCCAAGGGCGGAATGGATCTAACTCGTCTTTTGTGGCAGATATCACCGCAGTCGCATCCGATATATCAACATGATCCACTGCGTCGATCTAGAAACGTGGAAGTACGCGATGAGCGTCTTCGAATATTGAATTTAGTATACCCGTATTTTGAGCTAACCTCAGAGCCCTTCAAGACTTCACTTTCGTTCTTCTCATTGCGTACTTGGCTTTCTGCCGATGTTCCCTTAACATATTGAAGATTGAGGATACAATCCCGTCAAGTTGAAGGCAAACACACCTGTGGATCTGCGAACTCAGACATAGCGGGTGTTCGATTCAGTGCATCAGGCTTATTCTGAATTGCCTTATTCCGAACCGACGATGGCTTCTTCTATATAGAGTATTTCACAGTAATCGAGCCGAGAGCCACGAAGTCACGCACTTTATTATATTCGATAGGTTTCTGGAGCACACAACGGAGTCTTCGGCACATCTCCTCAACAGTGAGTTCGCCACGAGCATTGTCATTGAACATCTATTATAAGCCAGCCGTATTCACTCATGATAAGCATACACCGAGAATCGAGCTGGAAGACACGTACCTCTAATTCTCGAACTTTCGTTTCCAACTTTTCCATGCACAGCTCAAATAATCGAGCTTTTTCCTCTAGCTCTTGCACGCGAACAGGAAGTTCATCCCATTCAGCCACCTTTTTCGCACCTTCTTCCTGTACTTCTTGAAGGCGTATCTAGGTGATTAGGTCGACGGTGACGAATTATCCGGATGCTAATGGCAGTCACCTTGACTGCTCCCACAAGAGCATTGACTTCGTTTTCCAAAATTTTGTTCTTGCAGCGTTCAACGTTGCATCTCTCTTGTACCAACGTTGAATTAACCACGGCAAGCTCTTCCTGCCCACAGGAGATATTATCAGTCTCATACACATCAATGAGTAACAGACCAACCTTCAGCTCCTTTGTCCATTTTTCAGAGACCCGAAGGTCTACTTTCAACTTCATATTCTCATCCTAAACAATATTGAGTAACTACAGGAACGTGACAGGAGACGCGACACATACCTCCAACTCCGCTAAGGAGGATTGCGTAGCACTGAGTTCAGCACGAAGCTTCACAACCAATACCTATAGTAATAGACCGTCAGAATCCGCCCGTCCAACTCCGCTTGCCGCTCTTTTACGATTGTCTCTTTCTCGCACGCGGCTCTCAAAACCGGTTATAGAGAGATACTACCCACCCTTTCGGCCTCAAGCTGCTCACATAAATGCATGTTTTCTTCAGATGGTGTTGCGAGATTCGAGTCCGCCGTTGACGACAAAGTAATACTTTCGGCGAATCGCATATTGGACCAAGTGCGTTACCCAGCTAGACGTGAGCGAGAAAAGATTCAGACCGCCACACTGCGACTGAGCAGCAAGGATACATGAGGCCCTCGAACCTTATCAGCTGGAAGCCCAGACACGAGGCACGCCCAACAATGTAACTAGGAGTTGATAAAATGGCAACGGAGAGATGCTAATTGACGAACCACTGTCTGATGGCTCAGGCTCGTATTCGGCATCATCAAAAAATTACCCAAGAATATCATCAACCGGAGCGACGAAAGGAGACAACAAAAGAACTAAAACTGGTACATCATGTACGCGACGAGTCTATTTAATTGATGAGTTCGCGTACTGTAGCACAAACAGACAAGAGTGCAGCTCACCATATGGTACTAGTTTAATCAGCTTTTCCCTAAACACCGTGACGATGCTTTGTCCTGAAACCAAATTAGAGCCCCAAAACTCACCAGGGCCTTCCTGAAGTCCTGCACCTATCTCACTATCATTACCATTGACTGGGTCTCTCAACGATCTGCCGGAGAACAGAATACGCGGCTTTCAAATTCGTACGATGAAGGACGAGACCTAGGAACCTCTTTGGATCGCTACGTGCCAGTTTCGGTCACTGCCTGCGATCGCGCATTCTCTAGCCCCACTCGAGAAGCGCAAACGGTAGACGTATATATTGAGCAGCATGTAATCAACAGCATGAGCGAGAACAGCAGCAGAACGGGAAGTAGGTACCCTATGAAGCTGAAGCTCTGGCGTGAAAGACCGATGAAAGAGAACATTTGAGGCGCCTACTCAGATGACTCGCGATGGCCGGGACAGGAGCGACTGAGAGGCTCCTGTCACCTTCAACTCGGACTCAATGTCTCCAGGCGTATTTCTATTCTCGTTCCCTCAAATTAGAAAATAAATGCTGATAAGAGATCTTAGTTGTAATGCAAGAACCGCTCCACTGTAATATACCAAGGCTATGACTGTATCCTTCAAACCTCTGAGACTTTTTTTCAGCTGATATCGTCGTGTCGATCTCCATAAATTTCTCTCTGAAAATCAAACTTCTCTCAAACATCGGACATCACCTCAAACAGGTCTCTCGTCCAAGTTCTGCAGCTATTGATGACCTACCTCCTCTCAAACTTTACAGCCTTCGCAAATTTCAATATCTCGTCAAGCTCAGCGCGCGAGAACACTGCGCCTAGCGAGATCTGCAAGTTCGCTGCGGTAGTGCTGAGAGACTCCTGTTTGGCGACCGGTGTGCAGTGGAGACTTTAGTCGATCGGAGCCTTTCACATTGAAACAGCCATCAATGACAACAAAACGAACTTGTGCATAACCAGTTCTGTAGTTGCTGATTTTGAAATCGTTGGGGGATATTATTGCTTTCTCGACGCTCGTTTTCAAGTTAAATCTCATGTTATATGAACTTGGAGACACATGGAATCGAAATTCGAAGAACACCACCTGTGCATCCTTCTCTTCTTCCTTCGGGAGGTATTCATACTGTTACAGAAGCATTATACTGAATATGAGACATCATTCCGACAATTCATCGCAGAAACACTCGGCTGGGTCCGTCCCTCGGGCATCAATGCAACCTCATTGTATCGGCATCTCTACGCAAGCACTCAAAGAGTGCCGGATTGTACCCCACGCGCCGAACTGAATACTTGAGGGCCGTAAGCTTGCCGCATCGATACATCTCATTCAACTTGTTATAATTGCACGGCCTCCCGGTCGAGATGACAAGCGCCCTTTGCGTCTGGCCACCAAGATGAGTTACAAGCGGCTAAGCATGCAGAACCCACGTTACCTTCTCTGGGAGCTGCTCAAACTCATCGATACTGAGCCGTTCTGCCTCGCCGATGGAGTACGATCCCACGTAGTAATATGCCCCCGAGAAGTATGGGACGAGCTCGTAGGAGGATTCCCTCTGTAGTCGCTTCACGGACTTGTTCTTGCAGATTTTCCACATGTTGGTGCCTTTTCCTTGGCAGTGCAATGGTTTGACAAAAAACGCAGCATCCGGACATGACACCCAGACAAAGTCATCGGGTACGACGACGCAAATATTCCGAATACCCAATTGCTGACGGAAGGCCAGCATCGAATATCAGAGCGATATACAGAGCTACGTACACAAGACGAAGCTGAACGCACCTTCTTGATATGTCCCAGATCTGGCTGGCGACCCGACAATGCCGGGAACATATCCTCCATGATGGTATGGCTCGAGATAGCGCCTGTGCTCATGCTCGGTTGCGCGGGATCGCCAGAGCACGAAGTAGACATGGCTGTCGAGACTGGCATATCGTTGGATAGCTCGTCTATTGTTTGAGTATTACATTTTGTTGACTGCAAAACTGTGGGCGACAGGCATTCATCAGGATCGCGCAGGACCTACCCTCAGCGTCGCGATCTCGACTTCGCACTCCGAGAGTTGTTCTCGGAGCGAGGACATTTCCGTCGTAAGAGCATCATATCTAGCCTGAGGATGTTTGTGAGAGTTAATAGCACATTCATAATGAAGTAGTCTTCCCCTCACCTCGCTTTGTTCTAAATCTTTGCGAGTCGCGTTCAACAGCCATCTATTCATGGCAGAAGCACGAGTAGAGGCGTTGATTACCTTCTCCTCCAGTTTCTGTCTTGCCGTCTGTCTCATTGGCATGAACAAGAGCAGATTCTTGCAGCATGGTACCAAACATACCTCCTGCTCAGATAGCTCGCCGAGCAACTCAGAAACCTGCTGAGAACTAGTATTCAGAAGGGCATCAGCCCATTCTTGCTCACGCTTTACATCAAGATAGCATCAGTCAGAATTGAGCATTGCGTTTCATGAGACACACCCGTGCTAGACGCAGATCATCCAGCAGTTCGTCGACCTGTTCTCCCAGAAAGCGAGAGAACTCGTCAGCCTCCGTCAACTGTTGTGAGAGTTGTAGGCGTATATAATTGCAATCACTCTACAGGATTAGCCACTCAAGCTTGGCGCGCTGATCAAGGTTGACTAGTATCTACCTGAGTTTTAGCGGATTGGTCCATTATTGCAGATTCCGATCGTAGAGCATTTTCCAGCTGTCGACTGAGATTCTCATTGTTGGCCTACAAGTAATATGTCAATGTCAGTCGAGATATTGCAGCGCAGAAAACTCACCAGAGCCTCTGATAACGAACGCCGAGTTTGTGTGATCTGTTCACGGAGTTCGGCGTTTATTGTCTAGACATGTAATACTCTATATTCACATCGCGTTTTGAGGTGGCTTATACCCTACCTGCATTGCCCTCAAGTCTTGTGCCGTCGTAGCTGATTGTGCGGTTAGCAAAGTTTGCTGGTGAAATAAGCAATGTGAGTTTACAGTAGCAGTGCTCGACACTTAAGATGTACGCACAGTTTGAATGACACCTCGAAGTTCTTGAGTGATCCTGTGTAAATCTTCATGTTTGTCCAGCTTGGACTTGCAGATCGCCAGCTGGGTCTGGTCCATTCGATGTTATTCAACTAATCATGTTTATCGAATCCATAATTACCCTTGTTTCGTCGAGGGCTTGATGGATTCCCGCAGTTTGCGCAACTTCGAGACTTGTTTTCTCCAGACCACGGCGGTGCGAACCCTTGAGCTGCATATTGTGAACGCAAAAAACAAGGTAAGCCTCAAATTTATAGTAAAACCACGTATAAACGGGAAGCAATCGTGTGGTGGGGCAAATTCGACCTCCAGTTGGGTGCTTGCGCAACTGTTGAGCGGATTTACTCAACCGCGGTGCTTCGCGGTGTTGCAGGGCGAACTTCTGCAACTGCGGTCGAGACAGGGAACCTCATATATATTGGGACTGAGTCACTGGGGCGCTCGAGTGCTTCCGTTCCCACCAAGAAGTACCGGGACTCCGGCGCAGTCTAAGTTTGAACCTTAGGGCATGAGGCAAATGGATCTGGGGGAAAAGACAATCGCAGTAAGATATGAACATGATCTGCGAGTCTGGAATAGGACGGTGAACCCCCAATAAAATCGAGTGACTATACTCGCACGCCGCAACAATCATGGAAGGTCAGACGGCAAGCGACAGAGATCCAGGAAGCGCACAGGAATCAACTATGCAAGCCTTGAGACAGTACGAGGAACTAGTACGAAAAAAATCCATGGAGGTCCGGGGTATATATATCAAAACAGACACGCAGCCCACACTGCTGTATTCTATCCAGCGCGCCTCCGAACCACTTCGTAAATTGTCCATTGTCAATTACCAGTCGATCGTTCGCATGAAAAAAAAAACAGACTTTCAATGTTCCTTTCGAACCCTCGTCCACTGCGG